ATCAACTGTTATGGAAACTATTGTTATTGTTTCGCATAAATCACGTCCTTTTTTTATGCTAAAATGAATACAAACTATCAATGTTTCGACTAATCTAAAATGAATTTTTGATAACTTTAGTAGGGAAATAACTTGAAAATAAAGTCACTGATGACTGTTGTTCGATGTAGGAGTAATTGTTTAACGTCAACCACATTACTACAATGTTTACCAGCATCATATTTTTATTGAGAAACTTCGTGAAAATCTCCACCATGAGTAATATTAAATGTACATGAATTTAATATATACATGTCACCAACATCACGAAGAATTTTGTTTTCAAAGAAAGGAAATTGTTCTAGTGTTACTTTATAAGTTTCTTTAAACATTGATGCTATACATGATTGAGTTTGTGATTCAAATTCTTTTGTTTTTATACTACTAACTTAATGTTTTTTCATTAAATTTGTACTATCAAATAGTATCGATATTCATCTGGAACTGTAATAATGGTAGATAATGAATTCTTGACGAATTTTATTAATCAAAATTTCTTGATATTTATTTTCATGAATACTTTTTGCAACAAAAGGTTCCACGTAAGATAAAGATTGATCTTTTTTTTCACTAGATCTTCTACTTGTGATTTATTAAAAATGTTTTTTATTGTTAGAATAAACATCTAAAAGAAATGAATTTGAAAAAAACCTATTTTTTATATCAATTACAGTTAAAAAATTCCAAGAATAGAAAGAACTAAATAGAATTAGTCCTTCTTTCGCTGATAGGATTGAAACAAACAGTTAAGGCGATCTCAGCTCAATTATTCGATGGAAGTCATTAAAAAAAACAGAATAAAACAAATTTCTTGATTCATTGTTACGGTTCTTTTCTTTTTCTTATACTGTCCTTTGACATATATGTAATATATGTATGTGTACATGTGCCTTCATGTTCGTACACGCACGGTTTTTATTTCAAAAGGAATGAAAAATAATCGTATGACATATATGATGTAGATGGATACATAGAGAACGAAAAAAGCGAGAGAGACCAATTAAAAATCAAAGATACATGAAAGAAGAAAGAAGGTAACACAAAATAGTGAATATGTATACATGTGACATCACTGTAACATACTCTCGTATCGGTCAACAGAATGTGTGTTATCAATATTTTTTCACAAAATAAAAGGAGTAGATAAAGAAATAAATCGAAAAAAAAGAATAATATCATAAGTAAAGAAATATATATATATAACGAATGTTCACGTGAAGTAGATCAATAAAAGTAACGGTTTATTTGAAACTATATCAAATAAAGATTCATATGTAACACAGAAAGGAAGAAAAAACGATTTTTTTAATGTTCACAAATAACGAAATACCTAACATATCTAGGTATCACATAAGATGCATGAAAAAATGGCTTGTAACAAATATGGATTCAAATGTAACAAAACATAAGAAAAGAAAAAAATACGGCGATTCACATGTACAGTAATGAATCCTTTCAAAGTGTTTATTTTTCGAGCTCTTCCTTGGTATTGATACCACTTATTTATTTATTCATTATGTTTCCAACAATGATGTTGCGTTCGTCAGACTAAATATATTTATGTTTACAAACATTTGTACACACACCTACACATCTTTTTCTTTTATTTTCTGTTTTCATATTGTTTTTAAACATATGATAGTTGAAGGGAAAAAGAAGACGAACAATCGACAAATCCTTTCAGTATCACCATCTTGCCGCTCCATTATCATATGTTTAAAAACAATATGAATAGAGAGAGACAGTTAAAGAAAAAGGTGTTTATGTGTGTGTGCAAATGTTTGTAAACGTAAATATATTTAGTCTGACGATGGGAACATCGTTGCCAAAACATAACGAATAAATAAATATATAAGTAATATCAACATTAGGGAAAAACTCGAAAAATAAATCCTATAAAAACACTTGATATGACTTTCTGAAAAACAAAAAATGGCATGTACAGGAACGAATAATAAGGCATTGAACATAATAAGTTATAACTACAATTATTCTAGATATAGACACGATGAAAATAGAAAAGAATCAATGCGTAGATGTTAATCATTTGATTATTTCGATTTATCTATTGAATGTTTTTTTTTATTTCATCGATTCGTTCTTTTTTATCACCGAGGAAATGTTAATAGTGAAATAATGATTGATTAAATTTCTCTTTCTTATTTAGCTTCTGTTGCATATTGGGAGAGAAATTTAGTTTAGTAAATCAAAGACTTATGAATACCCGACTCCTTTCCTTCTGGACATGAAAATAAAAAGTTTTTCGTTTTTTTATTTTTCATTGATACATATACATATATGTTTTGAAGTGTTCTCTGTCGATCTGCAAAAACAAAGTATTTCTTTTGACGCTGTTTTGATCTTGAAAAGAACGATTCCTGAGATCTCCTATCTAAAAAGCACTCGATTTTTTTTCTTGTCTTCAACGTACTTCGTCTATGCGTTTAATCTATGCGTAGCTATCTGATTTTTAACTTATATATGAGACATCGTTCAACTTTAGTTTGAGATATGATCAATAAGACGAAATCAAAAAATTCCGACTTCAGCCTTATTTCTGGTAGTATGCGTTAGTTTTTTTTATTCAACGCTATTCTTAATCTCTGATTGAGAAGTCAGTGTCTTTCGAATGGTTTACCCTCAGTTGTTAATTCTCTTGTTGACTGCTTCATTCATTTCCTTTCTTTCGTTAGCATACAAAGAGAGATGCATTCAATAAAAAGTATATTATTCATGCATATCTGATTACGGACATTTTACAGATATAAAAAAAGTACTTTCTAAATTTAGAAAGCTAACTTATCGAATGTTCAGTAGTCGAAAACTCCAGAGATGCGCAAATACAAATACATTTTGTACTTGGACTTACTCATATACTTTTACCAACAATTGATGTACTCTCATGTATTGGGTCTAAATGTCTAGAATTTGAAGAATTTGTATCATGTACTCTCATGTATTGGTCTAAAAGTCTAGAATTTGAAAAATTCTAGACTTTTGGACCCAATACATGAGAGTACATGAGAGCACATCCCAGGCAGACAAAAAAGTGAAAAAACGCGTTTAAACGCGCAGAGATTTTCGACCGTGTCAGGATGTCAATCGAGGTTCCCGATTGTGTGTCACTAACGACCAGTATAAGTGAACGTGAAAACGGTCTCTTTTTCATGCTTAATGAAATTTGAATATTTTCATTTCATCAATACAATATCATTTTCACGTTTAGTATTCCGTACCGTGTTTGACTCACAATCGGGAACCTCGATTGACAACCGGTCACGGTCAGTAAAAATGGACGTTAAAATGATCCTTTTTTTCACTATGCCGGAAAAACTTAACGTTTAAACGCCAAGTTTCTTGAAACAATTTGACATTAATAATTTCCGACCGTTTCTGACTGCCAGTCGGGAACCTCGATTGACAACCGGTCACGGTCAGTAAAAATGGACGCTAAAACGATCCTTTTCTTCGCTACGTCCGAAAAACTCAACGTTTAAATGGTATATTTCTTGAAATCATTTCACATTAGCAATTTTCTATCATTTCTGACTCACAATCGGGAACCGCGATTCGCAACGTATCACGTCCAGACAAACTGAACGTCAAGGTGATTCTTATTCCACTACGCTGTAAATCTCTAACATTTAAATGGTTCATTTCCAAAAACAGTTAAGATCTAGTTTTAGTTCCTATTTTACACTTATAGTCGGGACCGCAATGGAGAATAGATCATGATCAGAAAAAATGGACGTTAGCATTATACCTTCTAAACTAAGCTGAGACTCTTTAATGTTTAAACCCTCTTCTCTTCAGAACCGGTTCACATTTACTATTCCTTATTGACTTCAGCTCATAGTTGGGATCCGTGAATATCAGTCGCAATTAGCTGCCTTTCTACATTATTAAGACGTAAACAAGAGTGCTTTCTAAGACGTTTTAAGGTGGAAGAGATCTCTGCGTACGACCATGCATGAATTCAACTGTCTCAAGCTCATAAAACATAGGATACTGCACAGCACGACATGAATCGAGACTAACTGAATGTTAAAATGCTCAAGAGTAACGCTTGAAATCGAAATAGACGTTTCAAATATTTTGCAGAATAGAATTCAATTCGAAAAATAGAAGGGAGATCCTGTGTGACATATGAAATTCTACTCAAAAACGGAAGCTCAGAACAGTTGCATCAAGTATACCTCTGAGTTCCGTCATAACTCATGTTGTAAAGACACATCTGATGGTAGGACACAGGAAAAAACTATGGAACGATAGCATTTTACAAGAATCGAACGAGAACAAAAGAGGAAAGATTTATTAGAGGCTAATTCTGCTTACGATTCCATCTAAGCTTCGAACATCTGATATGTAACTTATATAACCAGGCAACAGTACGAACATTCATCGACTTCTTCATAGGGTAGTGCAAGTATAACTCACTCAAAAAGGACAGGGGATTCTCACATGAAAACTCATCCTCATCTGTAACAGGAGACGTCAAACGAATCATTAGACGAATTTTATCTATTATAACCTCAATATTCCAATAGGATACAGCTGATTGCAGAAAATAAGTATCAGATGATGTAAAAGATAACTTTAATGGATAGAACTTGGATTTTTCAGATCAATGCATGCAATGTTACCTACAGGACTTGAGAGCAGAAAAAAAGGATAATAACGAATTGAAAAATCAAAAAACAAGTCACCATTACTTGTTTTCCAAGATCCACTTGAATCGTACATATAATTTTGAATTTCTATTCACATTTTTGAGTTCAACACAGCATTAAGATTAATATCAATGCAACCTAGAACGACACATAACAATGAAAATCAGCACTCATTCGTATGCAATTGAACTCACCATTATTTATCCGACAACAAGAACCAAAGACAACCAACACGAAATCTCTTTGCAACTAATACCAATAAACCAAACTTGTACAGCTGTACTCCACTAATTAAACCTAATCAAGAAATATATGCTTTTATTTATGAAACTCAATCAAACCCACCCTTTCTGATTCAGACACACTAATCTAAAATAAGAGATATTAACATTGTTTTCAATTAATTCATGTATATCAAACTCACCATGATTCATTCTGTAGCAAAAGACTGAAAAACAAACGTCATGAATAATGGTACTCATTAATTGTTTGGAACTAAAATCATCATTATTTCTTTTATCATCTGAAGCTGAAACAAGAGACACACATATAAAATCTAACAACTAAGTTTAAATTTAACTTACCAGTTTTTTTCTTCCTTTCTCACATGAATCTAAAACAACAGAAATCACTGCTTTCTCTTCTTAGTAAGATTATATCGAACTCGCCATTATCTTCGTACCACAACAACCTAAAAAAGAGATATGAATAATGTTTTCTTTTCTCTTAATTAATTAATATCAAACTTACCTGTATTCGTTTTATCATACGAATCTCAAAAAACAAGATATAAATGATACTTTAAGTTTATAGACTTAAATAGAACTCACCATTTTTTATTCTATGCATTATTCTAAAACAAGAAAAATGAGTATTGTTTCTCATTACTTAATTTATATTGAACTCACCATAATCTATTGCATGGCAAAAAACCTAAAAATAGGTATGAAAAATAATTTCTACTCATTAATCAATATCGAACTTACCTGCATTCATTTACTCATATGAACCTAAAAAGAGGCATAAATATAATTTCTGACTTCTAAATTTAAATCAAACTCACCATTCTATACCATATCACATGAATCTAAAACAAGAGAAATGAGTATTGTTTCTTATTACTTAATTTATATTGAACTCACCATAATTTATTGCATCGCAAAAAACCTAAAAACAAATATGAAAAATAATTTCTACTAATTAATCAATACCGAACTTACCTGCATTCATTTACTCATATGAACCTGAAAAAGAGACATAAATATAATTTCTGACTTCTAAATTTAAATCAAACTCACCATTCTATACTATATCACATGAATCTAAAACAAGAGAAATGAATATTGATTCTTACTACTTAACTTATATCGAACTCATCATTAATTATTATTTTGCAAAAACCAAATAAACAGATATGGATAATGTTTTTGTGTAACTGAATAATATCGAACTTAACACCACATATTTTATCATTCGAACCTAAAAAAAATATATAAACAATACTTTTACTTTATAGGTATACATCGCACTTATCATTTTTTTCCTCTGCTAAATGAATATAAAACAGAGCGTATCACTATTGTAGTCCATTAGTTATTTAATATTTAACTCATCATCATTACTTCTATCAGAAACACCTAAAAAAGAAATATGACTAATATTTTATATTAATAAATTATTATCGAACTCATCAGTACTTATTTCATCGTGTGAACCTGAAACAAGAGATATAAGTTACATCTTTAGTATATAAGTTTAAATCGAATTCACCATTCTTTTATTCCATCTCGTGAATCTAAAACAAGAAACATCAATATTGTTTCTCTATTAAGTAATTTACATCAAACTCATCATGATTCATTGTATTGCAAGAACCTAAAAAAAACATATGCATAATGTTGTCTATTCTTTAATAAATACCGAACTCACTAGTATTCATTTTCTCATGTGAACCGGAAAGAAGTGGTATAAATATAACTTCAAATTTATAAATTTAAATCGAACTCATCACTCTTTTTTTCTAGCACATGACTCTAAAATAAGAAATACCAATATTGCCTCCTATTAAGTAATTTATATCGAACTCCCGATAATTTATTGTTTCGCAGAAACGTAAGAAAAAGTACTAATAATGTTGTATATTATCTATTTAGTACCGAATTCACCAACTCTCATTTTATCATGTAAACCTGAAAACGAGAGATATAAATATAATTCCTGATTTATAGCTTTATATCGAACTTACCATTCTCTAATTCTATCGCATGAATCTAAAACAAGAAAAATGAGTATTGTCTTTTATTAATTAATTTAAATCAAACTCACCATTATTTGTTTTATTACAAAAATCGTAAAACAGAGGAATTAAAAAAATTTTCTGTTAATTAATTAATCAATTTCCAACTAACCAATATTTATTTTATGATGTGTATCTGGAAAAAAGAGATATATTTAAAACTTTTAGTTTATAGGTTTAAATTGAAATCACCATTCTTTGTTTTTCTATTACATGAAGCTAAAACAAGGGATATCAATATTAGTTGCTATTAATTGATTCATATCGAACTCACCATGATTTATTTTATTATATGAACCTAAACTAAGAGATAGACATAACTCTTTTGGTTTATAGGTTTCAATCGAACTCACCATTTTCTTCTATCACATGAATCTGAAACAAGAAATGTCAAAACTGTTTCCTATTAAGTAATTTATACCGAACTTACGAAGATTTCTTGTATCATAAACGCCTAAAAGAAAGATATAAAAAATGTTTTCTGTTAATTAAGTAATATCGAACTCACCAATAGTGTTTTATCATGTGAACCTAAAAGAAAAGTTAGAAGTAATTCTTGTAGTTTATAGGTTTAAATCGAACTCACCATTTCTTTTTCTATTACATGGGCCTAAAAGAAGAACTAACAAAGTTTTTTCATATTAACAAATTATTGTCGAACTCACCATAATTTGTTATATTGCAAAAACCTGAAAACGTGGTATGAATAATGTTTTAGTTAGTTAATATCGAACTTACGAGAACATATTGTATCATGTGAACCTGGAAAAACAAATATGAATAATACTTTTATTGTATAGGTTTACATTTAACTCACTATTTTTTTGTTATTCTATCGTATGAATCTAAAACAAGAGATTTGAATATTGTTTGATATTAATTGATTTATATCGAACTCACCAGTGTTCATTTACTTGTATGAACTTGAAATAAGAGATAAAAGTAATTCTTTTAGTTTATAGGTTTAAATCGAGCTTACCATTCTTTACTATATCGCATGAGTCTAAAACAAGAGATGTGAGTATTATTTTCTAATAATTAATTTATCATGAACTCACAAGTATTTAATTCAACATGTCAACTTGAAAGAAGAGACGTGAATGTTGTAGGTAATTTATAATGTTAAATCAAACTCAACCTTATTTAAATCATCATATGAATCTGAATGAAGAGATATGAAGGTAGTCTTTTTGTTTGAAGAGTTGAGATAGAACTAACGGTGTGTTTTCTAGGTGATAGACTTAAAAGGAGAGATACAAGCATTGTTCACTATGAATGTATTCAAGTCAAACTTACTCTGAATTATTATGTATGATGAACCTAAAAGAAAATTTCAAAGTAATTTGGTAATGTATAATTAGGATAGATATTCACGAAATATTTTTATGAAATGATGTATTTTTGTTTAAAAGAACTAAAAAGACTATACTCAGTTCAGACAACAACTGAATTGGGTTATAGTTTTTTTTTTACAGCTTCATGGAAGCTATTTTTCGAAGTTCTGTTTTAGGGAAGCATATCAAAAATTTGCGTCACGTTGAAGGTTGCAATGCTTAGTTAGTTAAGTGTAACACAAAGTTTGGTTGATGACAGATCGTTGAAGGAGTGCTGCCGACGTAGGAATTTGACTTACAAGCTAACAGTTAGATATTGAAACATACGTGAGCAAACACTAGTTTAGCATGAGAAAAAGAGTACATTTTTGAACGCACTCCCATTGGAAAAATTTCGTTACTTTTAAATGCTGCGAAACGCATTAATGCTGACCGGTTTAACGCGTTTCGCAGCTGCTAAATCGGTTAAAAACGCCGCGAGACGATATACTTTTCGTTTTCATCCGAGAATTGTGGCTCCGAAACGCGTTATGAGTAAGTGGAAAAAAGGGTTGTATACGTTTCTTATCACGGGAAACGCTGCGAACGCGTTAAATCGGTCAGCATTAACGCGTTTCGCAGTGAATATATCCTAATTTTTTATCCCATGGTCTATAGAAGATCAGTTGATGGTTTAAGAGGATGGCTTTATGATGACGAGGAATGGAGTAGCTTTGATTCATTAATAGCATTCCATATGTTCTGCGAAAAAGGGTAGTTGATTAAAATGGTTTCGAAGACATATCGAAACATATCAATCATCCTAGCAGAGGGTGTGAGTAATTGGTGGAGATGGGATGTGTGTGGGTGAATGTTAGTCTTCTGTTCATCAACACTCAAACCTACACCCACATCCACCCAAAGCACGCACGAAATAATCAAGTTCGAATCGTTAGAAAACACATTGAAAAAAGACAGCTTTAAAATACTCAGGAAGTAAGTATAATACATGTTCACTCGGAATGAAAATTATTCCAGCTATAGCTCCATTTATTCCTCATTATAATCATACTAAATTGATTTTTCCGGTGACCCGCTTTTTAAAGGATGATCCGATGAAAGTTTATTTTGATCTGTTAATCACTCATAGAAATGATCGTTTTTTGAAAACTTTCATCAATTAACTAATTAGTAATAAGATTTTAGTAATCCAATACAATTTTTAAAAGGTTTGATATCTCAATCGCATCAAAAGTAATTTGATTCCCTAAAAATGTTCTGTTTTTTTGCAAACAAAAATACCCAGAATGCCCCACGACATGTATGACAAAAAGAGTCAGAATACAATTGTTTTTCATCAATCATACGAATTCGTTTAATACATATCACGCCTAATGGAAGCAGTAATTAAAAATTGAATAGATGAAAGTCACTGCATTCCAATCAGCTGAATCTGTGTTCGGAACCCATCCATACTATTCAAGGAGAAAAAAATTATAAAAGAATCAGTATTAAGTGCTTTCAAAGGCAGTCTTTAAGAAGAAAGAAACATTTGTGAATGAACGTTTTTAAATATATTTTGACATTTTTTAAATAAAAGTACTATTAAGTACTATCGAAAGTGTGAAAAAGTACTAAATCGCACTAGGAATAGTAATAACAAGTTGAACAATTCAATTTATTCTTCTCTATTATTAATAAAAGCACTTTCTAGTACTTTCTCAAATAAAAAAAAATACCATGAATTGCTTTTAATACTAATAGAGAAAAATAAATTGAATTGTTCAACTTTTTATTACTATTCCTAGTATGATTTAGTACTTTTTCATACTTTCAGTGGTACTTAATAGTGCTTTCTATTAAAAAAGTGTTAACATGTACTTAAAAAGATTCGCTTACAAGCGCTTCTCCCTTCTTAAAGATTACAGTTAAAAGTACTTTATAACGATTTTTCTCATACTTCCTTTTACATGGGATGTGAAAGTGAAAATATACATAGCCATCTATGTTCTCATTTTTTCAAGAATAAAGGTACAATTTAATTCTTTTTAATCGATGATCTTTATTCATACGTAGCATGTGGTATATTAGGGGAAAATTCAAGATATTTTTGCATTAATTACTAGTTTTAGAGAGTTAGAAGATAACTGATTAATATTTATGAAAACAGTTTGATCAATTGCTCTCACTCGAAACTAAAGTGCGTGAATATTAGCAGAAAAGTTCGTGTCGTTGACTTTTGATACCAGCTACGGCTAGAACTGAGCGATTATTTGGTCTGAATGGATAAAAGAAAAATCTCATGTTTTGCTATAGATCGTTTTAATGCAGATCTATATATATCATATCCAAAGTTTACCTGTGTAATCTATTGTCGACCGCTCGATGCTAGGTACATCGAACTTGACTAACTTCCTGCATAAAGCATTCCATCAATAATGATTCTGTTTTGTACGGTAACTTCTAACATGATCTGCACTTGAAAATCTTTTCTGAAAGTGGTATATCATTATACGTTTGAGATTCAATGCTACTTAATACAAATTTCAATTCATCTAGAGACGTTCAAAGCTATAAGCCGGGAAAAGATTGTTACTTTAAAATTCTGATAATTGTCACTCAGAGCAAATGAAAAAAGTCAGAGATAAACAGTACATAGGCTTGTAAATTATTGAGCTGATAAAAAACGATTTTTGTAGTTTATTAATAAAACATAGATTCCGAAAATTATCTAATAAAGTCGCACACGCTTTTGTCACTCCGTGTGGATTTTGTATTCCAGCATTTGTGTAACATACATTCACCGCAGTGACCATATTAAGTATTAGTTTAAATGAAAATTTGAAGCGCATCAATAAATCAATCCGTTATTTCAACATCACGTGATGCTCTATCAGCTTAAGTCGTAGTCGATTCACAACAAGATATATGATTTCGTAGGCATATCAATTAGGATGAATATTCAGACAAGACAAAGATTATGATAAAATGCCCAAAACAAAAGATTCCACGGTACTGAAGTACATCAATCAAGGAAAACTTTACGAATAGTTACTAAAATCATCTGCTGACGTAAAATAGAAAACAATGGATCTAGTTATGGTGAACACTACAAAAAAAACAATGCCACAGTTGTTCAAGGATGAAGCTTTGACTGCCATTGTATTATTATTTATATTGAAGCATGAGATATTACCAATTTCACTTTTTTCGACTTTCGAGATCTTGAAAATAATTGACAAGGAACTTGAGAAAAAACAAATCAGAACATTCTTGCGGATAAGTTAATTTTCACGCAATAGTTTTCTTTTTCATCAACTAATTGTATAACATTAATATTTTTGCCATTCACTAAGATACTCTTTGTCTATTTCGCGACTACCAATTTAAAACACGCAGATAAAAAATTCTCGCAAAATATGTTGCGGTGAGATTCTATGTCCTTTCTCATTTATAAATGTATCATTAGAAATAAAATACTAGATTACGTTTGGGTCTGATAAAATCAAAACTTATATCCAATAGTAATCAGCCTTTTGTTGATTTCCGCAACATAAAATAGTGCTTTCATAAGAATAAAGGGGAATATTGTCCGATACCAACTATACGAATAAAAAACAATCTGCTTTAATTTTATTACATGGTTATGTTAAAAACATTTTGTGTTACAAACGCAACGCTTTCAACTGTTATTAAAAAATGCAAAACCAAATTTTAACTGCAATACAGTGATAGACCACAGACAAAGATTTTCAAGTGCGCAAAAGGAAATTTTTCTGTAAGTCACTCCTTACGAACTTTCTCTGGCACAATCCTTAGCTCAAACGCACAACTAATGTGTAACCCTATGAAAGACTCTGATAGTTAGCCAGACAGTGTTTAATCTAAAAACCTTACAACATACTGCAAACGCTCAATACGATATAGAATACCGATTACAAAGTCTGCAACACGGACGAATGTCCTCCTTACAACAAGACAAATAAAAAAAATTCAAAGAACTTCATTTAAAGAAACAGCTACCATTCGCTGTAATGTGGGGT